GTTTTTCCAACCAAATTTAACTTTTTCGAGCCGAATAATAAATTTCCCGAATCAAATCAGACTTTTTGTTTTCAAACCAAATTTAACTTATTTAAGTTGAATAAAATAATTTTCCTTGTTAAATTAATTATATAAACAATTTCTTATATTAAATGTGTGTGAAGTGAAATTCAACCAGTGAAATTATCTGAATGAGGAGCAGGTAAATGGACACTGGATGAAGAAAACACCAAAATTCTTCTTTTTTGAACGCAGATTTATAACAAAATTTTGCCTAAGGTAAAGTTAAAAAATTCCAATTGTGTGAATAAACGAAAATTGTATCCTGCTCCGGCCTCAACTAGTAGAAATCTCAGCTGAAAATGTTGAATCAATGAAAATGAAGCAATTAAAGAGAATTATGTTTGGTTTCGAAATATTGTCTGGTTTAGAAAAAAAACTAATTTGATTTGGAAAAAGTTGAACTTCCATTTGGGAAGGATTTGATTTCTAATGGAAAAAGTTTAATTTGGTTCGACAAATATTTATTTGATTTGGTAAAAAGTAGAATAAATGCAATTTTATTTAGAAAATAGTGCTAATTTGGAAAAAAAATATATAAAAGGTACTATGAGCCGACGAAGATGTATTCCCATTCGACTCACGCCTCGATGTCAGTTAAATTCAGCACCAATTATTTCCATTTTTCGAACATAATTAGCCCGATGTTTAACTATAAACAACGAATTAAGAAATGCCGAATAGAAATTAGATTGTTTTTCAATTACAGTAACTGCCCTCGGGTTACTTCCTGATATTTTCCAGTGCAATAAAACGTCCTAGGTGGAAAACAAAATAATAAATATATCTAGAGTAGAGGTTTTCCCGGAGTATTTGGAAATCTATAATTGGTCTATTTTCATTCCTGTAATCATAGCGAGACGGAGCGACGAACTGCGCATTTGAAAAACAGCGTTTCTTTAGAAAATTCGACAGTACATTTGAAGGGAATCGATTGATTTTCGATATCGCGGATGTGAGGCTTGAAGTCATTTCCCCAGCACCTCATCTGTGACGAACCCGGGAATCCTCCGCCGGCGGTGAAAGGCTCGTTAAAATGACAGCCGACGTCTTCACAAACTCTTGGGGTTAATGAAAGTGAGAGAGGAACACTCGCATAATGCTATTTCACGGGGAAAGAAACCTTTACGTAATTTAACAATAAACGCCGCGTAAATCAATCCCGGCTCACCGACGTTTCGGGCAATAAATAATTAAAAGATATTCGGGGGAAACTTCAACAAAAAAATACCAAATTCGAAATCCAACAGAACATTGAAGGTGTGATTTATTTTAAACATGATGAAGCATCGTTGAAGATTCTCGGTAGATATTATTGAAGTTAGTAAGTTAAAAACTAGTTTAAAAAAAACAGAATATAATTTTTATTATCTCCAGCCCGCCGGCCCTTGATTGAAACTGTACCCATGTGTGATTACGTTTCTGTGCATAAGAAATACAGCAGATTATGGCTAAACGTATTTCAATCTTCAAATCTTGTCAACTTGAATGAAAATCTCAATTAGCACCCGCCTTGAGGATGTCAATAAATTTGACAAAACGTCTGCTTACTTAAAAAGGGAATTTTTCTTTGCTTTTGATTTCCACACCTACAAAAGAGTTTGAATCATAACGGTCACCTATTCAACATTTCTATTAAGTCTTTTCAATTAATTAAAGTTTCGGTTGAGATTAAAAAAGTCAGTGTCACAAGCGGGATTCGAACCCACGACATTCCGCTAAATACACCGCTGCTCTACCACTTGAGCTATCGTGACTTCGATCCACTTGGCCACTAACTTCCCATCTCAACCCCACTTTTTGAATATGCCTTCCTTTTTGCCATTTTCCAAATGTCGTGTAATCTATTTGATTTGACATTTGAAAAAGTGGGGTTGAGATGGGAAGTTAGTGTCCGAGTGGATCGAAGTCACGATAGCTCAAGTGGTAGAGCAGCGGCGTATCTAGCCGAAGGACGTGGGTTCGAATCCCGCTCGTGACACTGACTTTTTTATCTCAACTGAAAACCTTAATTAATTGAAAAAAGTCGATACGCCGACTCTAAGCTGACACCCTCTTTTTAAATAGGTCACTGGTTTTATCCTTGCGAAAAGAAATGGGCCAAGCGGATTAACAATTCAATGACCAAAAACATATTTTAGACTGGTTTAATCGATCAGTTTAGAGCTAATTTTGGGTCCTTGAATATGAAAAAGGACAACGAGCACGTACTGAATCAATGGAATCTAATGATGATTACGTCCCAGATGAAAAATGACGCAACTCGAAACAAATACGCTCAAAACAAACTTTTAATACGCAACTGCGTTTTGGAAGACTGCATTTACATAGAAGAAACTGAAATTTTTCGTTTTTTCAACACTTCTTAAATGAAAAACACGAAATCCTTTCGGGTTCAACAGTAGGCGGCCTTTGATCCTTTCTCTCGCACTGTTTTTCCTATTGGATTTTATAACAGAATAATTTTGTCATGGAGTTGACTATTAAAAGCGGAAATATCGTGTCTTTGTTTTACGGTAATAAAGAAATCAATGGATTTAATAAGTACACCGATCGTCTAAATAACAAAGCTGAAACAAATAAATGACAAAATCACAGATACTCAAATGGGAACAGATAAAACGACACTTAAATATTTTCTTTCATGGATCTGAAAATTTCACACGACTATTAATCACTATTTTCCAGTCTTTTGACATCAGTTTTATTTTAAAACGTCAGTTGGGTAATTATTATTTGTTTTATTGATAATCCATTACTCAGAAAGTTATTTTACAGGGTTATGTTATTTTCTTTTGGTGGGCGAGGTTTACTGTATAATTTCTCATTGTCAGCAAAACGGAAATGGTTTCTCAATTTTTTTTCTATATTATTATGTTATTACAGTAATCAAAGGAATCGGAGCCCAAAGCAACTTAGTACGCGAGAATACTGAGAACAGACAAATGTGACGTGAATAATTATAATTAATTAGTAGATAGTAAGAAGTCTTGAAAAATGGCAAAAATATTTTTTTTTAATTTTAAACGTATAATTCAGTATTCACAATCACTTATCACTAGCACAATAACCAGGCCATGTTAAAAACTAAAATATTGCTATGATCAAAATGACAAAGTACAAAATAATTCGAGCAACCAACCAAAGCTCAAAACATGCAGCCAGATTCTTTCGGCATTTACATTTGTCAGATCATGATTATTGAACAATAAAAATTAATCTAACTTGAAGATATTTCTCATTTTGGCTTTGTATAAATTCCTTAAAATTTTCACTGAAATTTAAATTTAAAAATAAATTAAAGAAATAAATGAAAGATGGTCAGATTATCATATTGCTTCCAATTTTGATAAGGTATAAAGTACCTTTTACGTACAATAAAAGCCACAAATATGCCAACTTGAAAATAATCTAAGCCTTTAAAAAGTGAATTGAACTTGGTAAATCAAGTCAAAATTTTCCAAATAGAACTTTTTTTATATGGGGAAAGTATGATTTGGATTAGCAAACATTCCATTTGGTTTGATTTACTAATTTTTTTCCAACAAACTTTTTAGAAACGAAATCAAACATATTCTTTAAATACGAAATTAAGCTCTGTTACAAACAAATCCAATTTTTGCTTAAAGAAGAAATCAAACTTTTAAAAACTAAATTGAGCTTTTGCCAAATAAAACTAAACTTTTTCCAAACCAAAATAAAACCAAAGCTAATCAAATGTTTCCAAACTCAAATAATTTTTTTCAAGCAAAATTGAAATTTTCCCAAATAATACTAACTTTTTCTAAGGCAAATCAACATTTTTTCTAACACCACTTTTCTTAAATCAGATAAAACGTTTAAATCTAAAACCAAACTTTTTCCAGGCTGAATTTTTTCCAACTCTTATCAAACTTGAAAAAAACCTAAACTGAAGTTTCCCCAATCAATTCAACTTTGCTCAACCCAAATCAAACGTCTCTCAAACCAAACCGAAATTTTGCCAAATAAAATTAAATTGTTTTCGCTTTAGTTTGCTTTAATTTCGAAATTTGCTTAGTTTCAAACGAAGATAATTTTTTCCCAAATCAAACCCAATTGTTTTCAAACTAAATTCAACCTTTCGTAAAGAACACAAAACTTCCCTAGTCAAACGAACTTTTCCACCCATTTTTTTTTTCAATTCAAATTGTATTTTTTCCAATTCGAATCAAACTACCCAAACCAGACCAAAATTTCACCAAATCAAATCAAACTTTTCCAAAATCAAACGTTTTTCAAACCAAATGGAAGTCTTTCCGGATCCAATCAAACTTTTCTCAAATCGAATATAAATTATTCTAAATAAAATCAAACTTTTGCTTTCATTCTTTCATAAAACAACATTTATACTAGCAAAGGTTAGAAAAATCGTTACAAGCAGAAGACACAATAAATATAAAATAATACGTGGAAAGTTCTGACATTATCATTTATAAGTCAACTCCTATCTATTTGGGTCCACTTAATTTCGCTTTGTCGACATTATGACAATTAGAAATGCAGAAAGATTCGAGAAAAAACCTAGACCATCTCAGAATAATAAGCAATAACTAAACTGCAAACTGATTCTATTGTTGCGATTAATTTTGCTTTTTTATAAAACAACTTTTTTTTCATTAAAAGCTTAGAAACACTCATCACTAGCAAAATCCAATGGCCGTAAGATTTAATCTGTAAAAAGTCATCGGAAAGATGAAGGTGAAAATGCAGTCGTGTTAAGAGCTCAGAGGTAATAGGTAATGATGAAACTCAATAATAAATTGTATAAATTCAAAAAATTTCTAATTAAATAAAATAATGTTATTTTTTTACATTTCCACGCGGACATATTTCCAATGAATCTTTTTAGCTTTTTACAATTTTAACGAATTGACTGGACTAGGGTGAACACTCTTGCTCCAATTCTTTCTTCTGTTTGCTACCCTTCGGCCGTCCGTCATCATCCCTCGACGCCCCACGCCGATCTTCTCCCAATAACACGAATCTCACCCCTAATCGCTTGTTAATTGCGGAAAATGCGATCAAGGTGATAGGAAGGGGAAACTGAATCGCCCCTCTCTGACACGGGATTATAGTAATGCCTCAAGTTTTACAGTGAAAGTTAGTATTCCTCTTGTCCAGGCACGCTCAACACTCTCCTGTCCACATCATGCCCACGCAGGTCAGTCAGATTTCGTCTTTTGCTAATTTTCTTCTTTTTTTTTAAATTAACAATTATCAAAAACTACCACACACATAACTCTTATACAAGAATTTTTTTCCAATGTACAAATGTTATAGGACTTTTTTTGCAATTATATTGAAATCATGTGTTTATATTGTATATCGACATAAATTTATTATCCAAGTATATAATTTATTGAGTATGTATTCTTAAAAGAAATCTCATTTTGTGTCCTCTGCAGAAAACCTGTCGGTGCAAGCTTCGACAATTATTTTAATCGTTGAAATTGTACATCAAGTTTTTACACGATGGCCGATTCAAAAACAATCATTTTAACAAGTCTGTCTGATCAAACGCTTTCGCTTAATTTTATTTCTTTGATAAATTAGAATTTACTATTAGAAAGAAGAAGAATTTTTGAAATGATTTGATGCTCGTCAGGATAGGATGAGCCGGCGGACTTTGACCTGCGATTTTTTCCATGTGATAATTCCTCTACCATAATATGCATTTTCCGTTTTAAACGTTAAAAATGACTATATAAAATTATATATAAAACAAAAATCTACGTTTCATTTGTGATGGCAATTTTACTAGAATAGATCAACTTTAGCAGGCCTTAGATTATCGATATATTTGGGACTATTTTTTTTTTAAATTACAGTTCTTTAAAACCTCAATTATTGACTTTACGCATGAGAAAGCTCGTTTGTTATTTTTATTTCACACATTAGAATGCATCAGGGTGAAAAATGATTCGGCTGGGGCCAGGAAGTGCTTTGGGATGGCTACAAGCGAATTATCTTCTCGGAAGTAGGTGGTAACTTTCGTTTTCCGCCAATTAAATCATCCGAAACTCTCATCTGAGACGTTTCAACAGAGACAGGACATGTGTGAATGAACTGTTGTAAAATTTCATTAAATTTGAAGAATTTTTTGGCGGTCTGTATTTTCTAAAAATGCCAAAGTATAACTTTGAGTCAGAAAGCTGTTCAAACCAAAGACAGGACCTTAACGAGACCCCATACTATCAGTAGCATAGTTGAACATACTTTCATTCAAATCCTGTGCAATTTAAAAAAAAAATTCTATATTTATAATAACCAACAAGCCAATACTTTGGCTTTGCCCAAATCGATAGACTCATATACAAGGTGGCCCCAATCGATTCAGCCACACTTCCAGATCTTATAGGAAATTGAACCCTGAGTAAAAAAAGGTCCGTCCTATGAACCTGTGTCTGCAAACCCTTCAGTTCCGAGCTACAGGCAAAAAACCATGAAAAACCACGTTTTTTTGACCTTATTCGTGAAATTGTTAGTAAACCGTTAGCCTGACCGTAAAACAGCTCGAAACAACATCTGTAGAGGATTAATTTCTGCGTCGAATGATATTAAAACCAGCCTGATCGGTCGAAAATTTCATTGTTGTCGATTTTTCGAAGTTAGTTGGTGAAGGGGTACACAAAATTACCATTTTGCCATTTTTATCGAAAATTCACAACTTGAACACCCTATCAAAAAATTCTCCGTTACAAAACTCCAAACTCCGCTCACTTGTAGGCAATGCAGAAAATTGTCGCTATTTTTCGCTCAAGCGAAGTAATGGTTTTTTACAATAAATAAAATGTAATGTTCATTAAAAGATGCGTACACTTTCTAAAATTGTTAACTAAGCGGTTCAGGTTTTTCGTACATTATTTCATTCAGTAGGGGGTACCCATCAGAAAACAGATTTGCGTGAAAAGCAGAAAATTAGCCAAAATTTGAATGTTTCATGAATCAGACTGGGGTTGGTCTAATTTTTTGATAGGGAGTTCAAGTTGTGAATTTTCGATTAAAAATGACAGAAATGGCGAATTTTGTGTACCCCTTCACCTCCTAACTTCGAAAAATCGCCAAAAATGAAATTTTCGGCCGATCAGGCTGGATTTAATCCCATTCGACGCAGAAATTAATCCTCTACAGATGTTGTTCGAGCTGCTTTACTAACGATTTACTACCAATTTCACGAATAAGGTCAAAAAATGTGGTTTTTCATGGTTTTTATCTGTAGTTCGGAACTGAAGGGTTTGCGGATACAGGTTCATAGGACCTTTTTTACTCACCGTTCTATTTCCTATAAGATCTGGAAGTGTGGCTGAATCGTATATACAGGGTGTCCCAGTTCCTTCTGACGAAACCCATGGGTACCCCCTACTGAATGAAATAATATACGAAAAATCTGAACGGCTTATCCATCAGAAAACAGTAACATTTGGGTGAAAAGCAGTAAATTAGCCAAAATTCGAATGTTTCATGAATCGGACTGGGGTTGGTCTAATGTGACGGAGAATGCGATCACCAACAAACGAGGTTTGTAATGGAGAATTTTTTGATAGGGTGTTCAAGTTGTGAATTTTCGATAAAAAATGTCAAAAATGGTGAATTTTGTGTACCCCTTCACCTCTTAACTTCGAAAAATCGCCCACAATAAAATTTTCGGTCGATCAGGCTGGTTTTAATCTCAATCGACGCAGAAATTAATCCTCTACAGATGTTGTTTCGAGCTGTTTTATGGTCAGTCAAACGGTGTACTAACAATTTCACGAATAAGGTTAAAAACGTGGTTTTTCTGGTTTTTTGCCTGTAGCTCGGAACTGGAGAGTTTGGGGGCACAGGTTCATAGGACCTTTTCTACTCAGCGTTCAATTTCCTATAAGACCTGTAAGTGTGGCTGAATCGATTGGGGCCCACCTTGTATAGTATTTGTAGTCATGTAGTATACTGTTTTACTTTATTTTTCAACTGCAGCTAGATTATTTTTCTTTCGTGAACTATTTATATATTCAGAGTAGCCAACGAGCCCTATACAGTGCTGAGCACAAATTCATCGGTCGTGATCTCAGGATTCCCCCCCTTTTTTAAACAATGTCTCGATAATTTTTCTTTTTTAACTATTTATACATTAATATTAAACAACAGTGCTGGGCTTTCTTCAAATCCATTGACAACATGGAAAACACACAGTTTCTGTTTTTTTAAATTAATTACTTTTATATCTATAATAACAAGTGAACACTTACTGTGCTTCGCACAAATATGTTGTTTCTTTTGGACCCTGGTTGTTATTTTACCTTATTGTTAAACTATGAGGATTGATTTTAGTTTGTTAATTATTGTACATTCATACTAACCGACGAGCACTATACTGTGCTTCACACAAATTTGTTGGTCGTGTTCCCAGGACATTATTTGACCCTGTTTTCATCTATGATTTTGTTTATTTTTTATTTATTTAAAGAGAGTTTGCAACAGTAAAGGTCATATAAACCCTCAGGGTGTCGGTGTTTTTTTTTTTTTTTTTTTTTTTAAAGCCCATTTGTAAGTATGTCGGGTTCGAATGCAGGGCCGCTGGATTCGAACCCGGGACCTTCACCGTTCAGTGATGAGCGCCATGTCAACGCCTAAACCGTTGCGGCCACCGACACCCCCAATGACATATATTCGCAGTAACAAAGAATAAAATATTCATTTAGCCGGTATATAAACAATTACGATAAAACTGTGCCACGCTTCGCATAAATTCATTGAAGCGTGTCCTATAAAATTAACAAAACAATTTTCTGCGATTAGTTCTGCGTGGAAACCGTAGTTTAAATCTGATTTTCATGACGAATATTAAATTCAAAACACTTTTACAAATGATTGTTTAGGATAAAATGTTTATATAAATTCAATTTTGGAAAATAAAATAACGACACTATCAAACAATCCCAAACTATGTTTTGTATGAAAAGAAAGCGTTTCTGAAGTTTTCTCGATATTAATGCCTTATTTGTTCTTAAATTTTTCAATCGATGTTGATTTGTACAGCATGTAAAAGACAACTAACAATCAAAACTAAGAGTAGAGCAACCACGGTCAAAATTTTTCGTAATAGACAATATACAGTTTTACATAAACAAAGTTTTTGTCAAAATCATAATTAATACACATTTGATACGGAAGATCTGTAATGATCCTTTAAAGAAAAAAATAGTTTTAAATTGAAAACGAAAACGAATGTTAACTGAAGTTTTGCCAACAACCCCTCGATAATCGGACGTGATAGAAAGCTCCCTTCTTTCGGGTGGATCTGACCTGAAATCGAATATATTCTCTCTTCATCGCTGTTTACATAATCGGTTTTCAGAGTCAGCTAGAGAGGATTACCGCAGTTCCTCCTTGTTATGTTAATGTCTGTTTGTTTCAAAACGAGCTTTTGTCTGATAAAGAAAAAAGTCGCAACTTTCTTTTCTAAGTTTTGATTTTGATGTGTATCACATCGCTCAAGGGATGGAAGAAAGGCGCAAAATAACATATTTAAATTTTGTCTTTTCAAAATGAATCTTTACTTTTTTCACTTAAAATTTTGTTATAAAAGTTTACAGAAAAAAGATAATAAAAATTTATTCAATTCACTAATTTTCGTGGTCCGCTTGGCCGATTAATATCTTTCAATTCTTTCAATTAATTAAGGTTTTAAGTTGAGATAAAAAGTCAATGTCCCGAGCGGGATTCGAACCCACGACCTTCGGCTAGATACGCCGCTACTCTACCACCTGAGATGTAAAAAAGGAGGGAAAATTCGAAAGGTGGGGTTGAGATGGGAAGTTGGTGTCCGAGTGGATCGAAGTCACGATAGCTCAAGTGGTAGAGCAGCGGCGTGTCTCGCCGAAGGTCGTGGGTTCGAATCCCGCTCGTGGCAGTGACTTTTTATCTCAACTAAAAACCTTAATTAATTGAAAGATAATAAAAGCATTACAACAAAACCTCTTTCTTGTAAAGTCTAGCGTCACTATTTTCTCCCATTACGGGGGAGGTTCGCTAAGAAGAAATTTTTAACTGTTATCATTATTATGCACATCTATAGTCCTTCACACAAGGTATAGATTTTTAAAAAAATTTCTTCCTAGCGTTTTGTTAAGCTTTAATTGATCAGCTAATGTTGTTACACGGTAATCATGGAATGAAATT